CATCACCCCATTGTATGTCATATTCGACTACTTCTACAGTGCTCACCTCATCTTTTTTCTACCGTTGTGTCTGTCTCTTTTACATTGTTGAAACACTTCAATCTCGACATCTTTTTCACTTTGAAGTTGCTTCCCCTCTGTGAAGCTTAAATGATGACTATCAAAACGCCTGCCATTTGATATAAATAAATAAATACAATTTTTCAATCTCAACTTTTATCAAAAGGAGCTCAAACCCACCGCCATCTGCCAACTAATGGTACTTATCAAAACAGAGCAAAATTTGCTTTAAAAATTTTATCTTATTTACTAATTAATACGGGTTGAAAAATTTCGCCAATTAATAATCAGATTGATTTCATGTGCATTCGCATAACAAATATAAATAAAAAATGAACAACGCTTCAACCATTGATACTTTTGATGTGGTTAAATGTCCGGTATGACTGTGGGAGGTTTCAATGCATTATTAGACAAATCCTAAAAAATAAAATTAGAAAATCATGTATTTATTTGTACTCAGTTTGTGAACCGACTCTAAGCATGTTGGATTTAGTCACATCTATCATTTTCCAGTAGCAAATATCTATGTTGCGCCCTGAGAAACGTACACTCATGCAGCAAAAAACTACCATGACCCCACTGGATGTCATATTCGACCCCTTCCACAGTACTCACCTCACCTTTTTTCTACCTTTGTGTCAGTCTGTCTCTTTTACATCTGTGAATCACCCTTCTGTTCCTCTTTTCGAAATTTTCTCACTTTAATATTCCCCCTCTCTGTGAAGCTCTAAGTCAGTTAAAGGGCTAATGGTAACTCTCAAAACGCCTGCCATTTGAAATAAATAGAAAAGTATTTATGATTCCAATCAGAAGGAATTACCCTAGGAAGGAATCCAAGCAAATGCTTTGCGTGCTCCTGAAGCAAACGATTTCGCTCTTCTTCAACTATTCGCCTTCTGAGTTCTTCTTGACGTTGAATCTGAGCTTGAGCATCCTCATCCTCAAGCCGAAGTTTAACGAGTTCTTGAGCACGCCTTTCAATCATAAGATTGAGTTCACGTCTATGATCTAATTGCTTCTGACGCCTTTTCTCATCTGACATTTGTTCAATCCGATCACGAATCGCCATTTGAGCAAGTAACTGTCGATGATAGACCTCTTCCTCCTCTTTCTCCATCTGGAAAATTTTAGTTGCAATTATATTCGAGTTCAAAACTTACTTATATATATATAACATGATACACAATGAAGAAAGAAATGTTTTTAAATATATGAGTTATTGCATCATTTTTCTAGTTTAAAACATTTTTTTCTTACAGCCAATCGTTTTGCACGTTGTGCTATTGATTGCTGATGAGCCTTTTGGAGTTCCAGACGTTCTTGCAACTTTTTTCTGAACTCGTCTGTATCGGTTTTCAAAGCCGCGTACTCCATTTCCTCCTGTGAAAGTTGCTGTCTGAGGTTTTCGATTCCAATCCTCTCAGCTTCTTTGTCTGCAATGTAAGCGCGCAATCTCTCCTAATTGAAAAGGAAAAGATATAGTTGCCACTGGTATTGTAAGATCTCGCGGTTTTCAGTTCGTGACCTGAGTTATCATTAAAAGACATCTTTCTTGTCTTTTTGGAAGTTTATACGTATAAAATGAAATTTTCTACTTATATTGCTCCCCCTCACTTTCCAAATAAATTGTCCATTCGTTATATTAGCTGAAGTGGGGTGTGCGATAGACTTACCTCCACGTTGTGCACCCTGGGCAACGTATACTCATACGACAAAAAAGTCTATTAACCGATAGTTGACCTCTGGCCTTGACCATGGCACGACTGCTTGTCATATTCGACCGCTTTCACAGTACTCATCTTCAAAAGTCTATTAACCGATAGTTGACCTCTGGCCTTGAACTACCATGACCCCACTCTATGTCATATTCGACTACTTCCACAGTAAACCTTATTTCGCTTATGACTACACGCGTTGAGAATAATTGTTATGGTAATAATGAAAATAATACTTTTCAGAAAAAAAAACTAACAAAATGCCTCCAATTTGTTGACATACTTGTACTAATTCAAGTTGTTCCAAACGTTCCTTTCTATTTTTTGCTGAAGTGTCTTTCCTGTTTTCTTGTTCAGCAATCTCTCGAATAATACGCTCATTTTCCTCGTGAATTCGCTTTTCGTTTGCGCGGCGAAATTGCTCCTGTTGCTTCCTGAATGCTTCCATTTCAGCCATTTGTACCCGACGCTTCTCCAAACACTGTTCAATCAATCTAAAATACATCTATAAGTTAAGTCAAACCTTAAACCAATTAATGTATGTACTGAACTAAGAAAAGGCATAAAATGACAACAGAATTCATGAATAAGTTTGTGTCCCTCCACCATTCTTTTGGAGAACAAAATGTTGACGGTACTTAATCGCTGGATAACACAACGCTCACATGACTGAACCAGAGAATCCTATGCACGCTAGAACATTCCGGAAAGCGTGGCATGCTACCGTGACGATGATCAAGTGAGAGAGCGTATGCGGTCGTGAGTGTAGAGGTCTTCCAGTCAATCATAAATCAATAGTCACGGCATGGCCAGAGTAGCCAAAATCGTACTTAATGACTGAGCTTCGTGTCAGAGATTCACAGATCAAATAAACGTGTTCCAGGATGTATATTTTTTTCCTCTATATTGTTGATGGAGAATAGATGCTTTCGGGAGCTTCTCCAACCTAGGGGATCTTGCCATAGAAATTACAGATGATTAGTCAAGACTTGTTCGTGCAACAATCCACTACATATTCCATAATATCTGGTTTGACAGATATAAAATTAATGAATCTGTAGCTTTATTATCTTGATATTTTAAATATTATCATTTCTGTGATCTTAAGGCTATTAGCTGAGGTGTGCGATAGACTTACCTCCACGTGGTGTACTCTGGGCAACATATACTCATACGGCAAAAAGTTCTATCAACTGGCAGTTGACCTCTGAATTCTAACTACCATCACCCCACTGTATGTCATACTCAACCACTACCACAGTATCTTTGTGTCTGTCTCTTTTACATCTTTGAATCACTCTTCTGTCTCCCTCTGTCTCTTTTACATCTTTGAATCACTCTTCTGTTCCCCCCCTCTCGATCTTTTTCACTTCGAAGTTCCTTCCTTTCTGTGAAGCCTGAAGTCAACTAAAGTGCTAATGATAGCCATCAAAACGTCTGCCATTTGGTATAAAAATAAATAATTTAACATGCGCATGCCAAAGTGCATAACATGGAAATTTAAGTAATTTCCATCATTAAATGTACATTGAGAGGCTAGGAAGAACGCAGCTGGAAGAAAATTTGACCAAATTACAAACAATTGAAATTCATAATTTACATATAAATGCTCAGAATTTGGAATTATTCACCTAAACTTGGCTCTGTATGGTTAAAAATTTATTTATTTCAAATGGCAGGCGTTTTGATAGGTATCATTAGCCCTTTAGTTGACTTCAAGCTTCGCAGAAAGGAAGATGAACATCCAAGTGGTAAAAAGTCGAGAGGGGGACAGAATAATGATTCACGGATGTAACAGAGACAGACAGACACAAAGGTAGAAAAAGGTGAGGTGAATACTGTGGAATTATTCGAATATGAAATGCAGTGGGGTCATGGTAGTTTGAAGTCAGAAGTCAACTGGCAGTTAATAGACTTTTTTGCCGTATGAGTATACGTTGCCCAGGGTGCACCACGTGGGCGTAAATCTATCGCACTCCCCATGGTTAAAAATTGAAGTTACCTGCAAGGCTGGGAACATTAAGCGGTATAATGCCATTTGAAATCATCGCTGTTTTTCTAATCCCTAAGACGTAAAATAAACCGCTCCACATAGTTAAAACCCAATAAAGAAATATCCTATATCGCCCTAATTGTAAACCTCGGGAAAACTGAAATTATTGCAATTGCGATTATGAAATAATCATTATGAAAATGACTTTACAGTCCGAAACCACTAGTCGGATAAAGCAAGAGTCCTTAGCACTTTGACTCCAAACCCTCAACTTTATTGATTGAACTCGCATTCCAGCGATGAAAAATGGTTATTTATTGCCATACTGGGTTTTAAAATTAAAAATTGCAATAAAAATGCATATTTAAACGTTATATAAAATATATACATGAGTGAATAAATGCGTACTCCGAAAAAATAATTTGTCTCCAATCTGTGTGTGTGTATGTGTTTGTGTGTTATTTACCAAGAGAACTCGCCAAACTTATGATGAAAATAGGAAGGGGCTTACTTCTGATCCTCTTCATGAATCTGACGAACAATTTCATCAATTGCAATTTTTTCAAGGATAAATTCTTTGTAGGCTTTCATTCTCTCATGAGCTTTTTCTCTCAGCTGTTTGTCCAATTCTGAACTGTATTCAGACATTTGTTTTGAGCGCATTTTTTCTTCTTCTTGCTCTTTTGCTGCAAATTGAATTGCATCTCGCTCCAATTCGCTACCGTATTGAGCTTCTAATTTCTATGGAAAGTCAACAAACAATACAATTGAATTTCTAATATTTCTACAAAGAATGTGTTGCCGATAGAGTTGCAAAGTAAACTACTATTATGGTTATACCAAAATACAATTATCCTGCTATTTATTAAACATTTTAAACTGCCCGGGTGGCTCAGCAACTAACAGGCAGCTTTATCAAGTCATAGTGCAGGATATTGTTTTCCATCGAGGTCTATTTAATGAAGAGGGGTGCGCGATAGACTAACCTCCACGTGGTGCACCCTGGGCAACGTATACTCATACGGCAAAGTCTATAAACCGACAGTTGACTTCTCACTTCAAACTACCATCACCCCACTTTATGTCATATTTGACCCCTTCTACAGTTCTCATCTTATCTTTTCATTGCCTTCGTATCTGTCTGTCTCTTTTACATATGCGAATCATTGTTCTGTCCAACCTCTCGACTGTTTGTCCCTTTGGTGTCTCTTCTCCTCTCTGTGAAGCCCGAAGTCAGCTAAAGGGCTAATGGTAACTATCAAAACGCCTGTCAATGGAGATTAATAAATATTTAATGAAGAGGAAGTGAACAAATGAGCATATCGAAATACGATTTGGATCCAAGTCGAGTAGCAAAGACAGTCAAATAAACAGTGGTCCTCGTTAATGAATCCGCGCCGATAGGCATCAATCTTAAAACCTCTAGCGTGACTATCTTTCACGGTGACAACTACACCTTATAAATACTTTAAAAGAGATTCCACTCGCAAGGATATATGAACCTGTAATTCAAATACTTTACATGCTATCTATTTGAAAATATAAGAACACGGGGGCAGAATGTAGAATCTGGTCTAAGTTGAATACCCTGGTATGAGAACTGGGTTTTGTTTCTATTTAAAATCGGTAATTTTTAATTATAAATTTATCTGAAGTAAAGGGATATCTTTTTGGCACATTAAGCAACTGTGTGATTAAAGTCTAAAAAGCTAAAATATTCACGCAAAAAATGAAAAAAAAATAATGATTTCACCAGTTCTTCCAGAGCTTTCGCTTTCTTTCCAATCATCAAAGCGAGATTTTCTTTAGCACAATAAGCTTCTCGAAGTTTAGATTTTAATTTTCGTATATCTTCACTAAATTTAATAAATAAATTTTAAGGAATAGTTAATAGTAATAAATATAGGTAATTTATGCAAACCTGTTATCGCAAATTATTTTCCGATAAAATTGATCACGGTATTTATCAAGTAGTTTAATCTGGTCCTGATCGATTACTTTTTCTGCCGATGATATTTCTGGTCTAGCCTCCCTATTGCACTAAATATTTTACCATTATTTACAGTGGAATTAGATAGATAGTAAATTATAAAGATATTAACATACAGAGTTGCTAACTTTCGGTTGGAAGTTTTGTGGGTAGAACTGAGCATTTATTTCTTTCCTTTTGCTTATATTTTCTATGTTTGATGCATTTATTTGTTCACGCTGATAGCGCTTCATTTCACGAATATATTCATCTAGCTTTCGATGTCTTTTTTGCTGCAATTCCCATCTTTTACGTTCGTGGGACTATAAAATTGAGCATATAGATATTAATAAAATAAGCAGAAAAGCAAAATATGTTTCTGCAATTGTTGTTTAGTTCATTTAAAAATAGGATAAACTCAAATAAATAAGTGTTTAAGTTCAATAAATTTATTTGCCTTATAGTAAGAGCAAACTTTGCGGGCTAACCATGTTTACACCAACGGGTATATTGCCTTCAGGTGCTTTGCATTGTTGAGCCGTTTAAACAGTCAGTTTAAAACTAACACAAATTAAGAGTTTCATTTATGCCAAGCAAGAAGGTAGTTAATTTTTCTAGTTCCAAAGCCTCAATCTTGTCTATAATTACCCAATAGGCTTTACTTAGTTCCATGTATTCAACATAATTTCAAAAGCTTTATTGGTATAAGTATCGGTTCATTCTATAGCTATAAAAACCAGTTTTGGTTCAAGTGCTGTTTTTTATTTACCAATTCAGAAATCAATGGCTTTTAGCAGATAAATATTTAACTCTAATTCATATCATTCTATATATAATAATTATTCCTGCACATCAAAGTTGAATGTCTCTGGATGGCGAAATCATATTGTCAATTACCAATTCACTTGCTATTCGGTATATAAAACTAAAATGGTATTCATACGCGCTGTGTACGTCATAATGGCATTTAATTTTTTTAATTCTTAAACACCCGATTTCAACGTACCAAATCCAGCAAGTTTTGGCCGTCTGGCCAAAGAAGAAAAGAAGTATCACTGAATCCAATATTAGTGGTATCACAATTAGGGAAGCAAAATCTCTATACATAAGTTAGAAATCCTGAATAGCATTCTCAAAAATGAAAAATATCTAAGTTGCTACATTTTGAATTATTTAATGAAAACTTAATCTGTAAAGGATATATTTGACCATTGACAAAGAAATGCATATATGGGCTATATTTTAACAATTTTTATCGACATGAGAGTCAACAGTTATATGGAAAAATAATCCCCTCTAATAATCATTCCCATTCTAAGTCGGATTAATTGTCGTCATGAAACTTTTATCAATTACTGATTCATAATGTATTTCTGTGTTGTAAAAAATGACAGATACACTTCATACACAAAAATATTGTTCCCATTCAAAAACTGTCAACGCAAATTATTCCCAAGGAGGCAAAAATTATTTTACGCATTACATAAAAGTACTGATCTCTATGTATTCACCCATAGTGTACAATATATATATATATATATATATATATATATACAAAACCGAAATCCACCGATTATCATAAATGAAACCCGATTCTGTTAAAAGGAATAGGTTACGTCACCTCCTAAGGAAAATAGTTATAGAAATCTGGTTTTTAAAGCGTTAAAGTTAAAATTGAAGTAAGAGGGCGATAACGAAATGTCGGGATTAAAATAAATTGATTTTTCGCAGTCAATTAGCGGTGGTTTAACTTAAGTAATTGTACAAGTTGATTAAAATGTTCTGTATTTAAGGCAAATTTATATTTATAAGCAATTATTAATCTATATGGGCAATACTTTATCTCAACTACTGCCCAGTATAATTCACTATTTTTGTTCTATTTACTTTCGACTTAGTAGGGTGCGCAATAGACTTACCTCCACGTGGTGCACCCTGGGCAACGTATACTCATACGGCAAAAAGTCTATTAATCGGCAGTTGACTTCTGACTTCAAACTACTATGACCAACTGTTTGTCATATTCGAGCCCTTTCACAGTACTAATCTTACCTTTCCTATGCCTTTCTGTCTGTCTGTCTCTTTTACATCTGTCAATCATTATTCTATCCCCTCTCGATTTGCTTTAACTTTGATGTTCCTTTTCCACTCTTTGAAGCCCCGAAGCCAGCTAAAGGGCTAATGATAACTGTCAAAATACAACCATTTGAAAAAAACTTCCGACTTAGTAGATTTATCACCTATAAATCTGAAGGACTCCATCGCGAGGAATGAAACAAAGTTGAAAGTAAAATATTTCAAATGCTTATCTTAAATGATCAGTTGTCAAAATCGTTCCAATTTCTCATTATTACTGATATATATTTGTGGCTGAAGTGGTTGGATTTGGTCTTGAGATAAATTAAGGCATCAAATTTAATCAATGATGAAGGTTTAAGAAAGAGGAATCCGGCATACAAATGAACTATAAAACTAATTGAACGTTCCTTGAATCATTTATCAGGAAATTCTTCATATGTTTGACTGTTACCATTAATTATTCCTCTAAAAGTGATGTGAAGATTAGATAACCAAGTTTACTCACTCGTGCTAGCAAAATAATTTTAGGTGTTAAAACTTCTTAGAAAAGTGTTGAATAGACATTATTTTATCAAGTATAGTTAAAAAATTTATTAATCTTATGGACAAACTTATGGTTGCAAGTAGGTAGCAAAGGAATCAAAGTCGCATAAACAACAGTTTTGTAGCGGATTGCTACGCTAGTTATGTATATTGTTTTGTAGACTTGTAGCGGATTGCTCCCTAAGTAAAGCCTGACCTGGTTAAAGACTTGTAGCGGATTGCTACCTTAGTAAAGCCAGACCGGTTGAGAATTGTAACGGATTGCTACCTTAGTAAAGCCTGACCGGATTGCATTGTAGCGGATTGCTACGCTAGTAAAGCCTGACCGAACAGAAATCTCTATGGGCTACGCTAGTAAAGCCTGACTGACTCAGAAATCTCAATGGGAGATCCTCCTACATCTAGCTAGACTCCCAGAACCAGCTAAACACCTTAGTAAAGCCTGACTGACTCAGAAATCTCGATGGCAAGATTTCCAACGTCTAGCTAGACTCCCAGAACCAGCTAAGCTATACCCCAGCTACGCTAGACTCCCAGAATAAGCTAAGCTATAGCCCAGCTATAGGCTGACTCCCAGAACCAGCTAAGCTATAGCCCAGCTATGAAAGACTCCCAGAACCAGCTAAGCTATAGCCCAGCTATGAAAGGATCTCCCAGAACCAGCTAAGCTATAGCCCAGCTATAAAGAAATCAAGTCTCTATGGCAGATTCTCCAACATCTAGCTAGACTCCCGAGAAATCTCTGGCAGATTCTCCTACATCTAGCTAGACTCCCGAACTAGCTAAGCTATAGCCCAGCTATAAAGAAAACAGACGTATAATTCAGCTAAGCTATAGCCCAGCTATAAAGGAAACAGACGTGTTGCCTAGACTCCCAGAACAAGCTAACCTATAGCCCAGCTATAAGGGAAGAGACGCGTAGCACGGAGCACGTTTATTCAGGACGTATATTCGATGTGTAGCACGGAATACGTTTATTCAGTACGTATATTGATAGCGAATTGAGATTTTGGCAAAGCGAATAGTTATGAGATAAATCTAACGTAGTTCGAGTGAACATATTATTTATATCAAATGGCAGGCGTTTTGAT